AAACCTTCTGTAGTTATTTTTTTTCCTTTATAAGTGCATATGCAAAGGGATCCTTTGGATTCCACAAGTCTAAGATGACAGCTGTATCTACCTCCGTGTGTAATTACTGTGTATCTTGTTACGAATGGAAATGTTACAAGACCTTAGCTGTGGAGCATGTAAAAGAGGGACCAGACTGCACAAAAGAGTGGGTAGAATAATTTTAGGATGTTTTGATTACGCTATGACAGGAAACATATTCAAAAACTTTGGTCACTTCCTAAAATGAAAGTAAATTCACCTTTTTTAAATTTCTCAGAGGTACACTGCACTTCTTTGAGATTTTATCCCTGCTAAGTAACTGTCCTACTAGTCATAAGACTCTTGTCGAAAGAGAAATAGTGAACTTTGTGCCTGTTCTTTGTCTTCATATCCTAGCTGACATTTCATTGGCAAACTGAGATTTTGTTAATCAGTTACAAACACTAATCCAAGTCTGCTGGCTGTGCTTCCTTGTACCAGATGTAGCTTATACACCATCTTTACAATCTGAACTGAAGTACTCATCTTCTGAGTTCAATATGAGCTGTAATTTGACTTTAGGTCCTTATTTAATACTTTGTGATTCTTTTCAATTTCACATTTTTCAAATGGAAAGTGCCTTCTAAAATTGCTCACTGTGATATGGCTCTTGTGGTCTGTGACTTGCCAAAAGTTATATATAATAGACGGCATCTCCCAGACATGGACAGAATACAGTCTTCAGGTCACCTCTGTCATCATCTCCATCATTCTCTTCATGCTGCTTTGTCTTCTTTGAACTGATTACCACTCAATAAGTACATATTATTTACGTGTTTATTTAGCTTCTGTCTCTTGTACTAGTCTGTAAGCTCTGTGATGGAAGGAACTTTGTTGTGTTCACTGCTGTTGCCTCAGTGCCTGGAACCATGTGCAACATACTGGACACACTCAATAAATACTGGGGATAAAATGAATGTATGGTGCCTATTGGATAGGAGCCACATAACTGATCTGCAGTTTTTAATCTTCAGGTGCTCCTAGTGGATGGGAAAGGTGTCCCCCTGCCAAATAAACGCATCGTCATCACAGCGAACGAAGCCAACTATGCCTCTAACGCCACCACCGATGAGCACGGCCTGGTGCAGTTCTCCATCAGCACCACCAACCTCACAGACACCTCCCTCACTGTCAAGGTAAGTTTGCAAGGAAGTGACCAATGACATGATGTGGCCTTGGGGAAAAAAAGTTGCAACCTAAAAGTGATGAAATGTCCGAGTTGTGTTTAGTCCCATGGAGAGAAAATAAAGCTAGACATTAGAAACCAATTTCAGGTCAATTTTGAAAAAAGTAAATTAAAAAGGAGGCAATGGAGTGTTGTGGTTAAGGGGGGTTCCATTCATGCACTCCTGCTGGGAATATAAAATGGTGCAACTGCTATGGAAAACAGTATGGCAGGTCCCCTAAAATGAAAGTAGAACTACCACATGATCCAGTATCCCCACTTCTACGTGTATATTCAGAAGAATTGAAAGCAGAATCTCAAAGGGATATTTGCACAGCCATGTCCATAGAAGCACTACTTACAATAGCCAAGAGGTGGAAGCAACCCAAATATCCATCAACAGATGAATAGAATGCGGTATGTACACAGCCTTAAAGAGGAAGAAATTCTGTCTTGTCTTACCATATGGATGAACCTTGAGGACATTATGCTAAGTGAAATAGCCAGTCACACACACACACACACACACACACACACACACACACACACAGTAGTGTATGATGCAACTTATACGTGGTACCTAAAGTACTAAAAGTCAGAGAAATAGAAAGTAGAATGGCGGCTGTCAGGGGCTGACGAGAATGAGAAGTGGGCAGTTGATGTTTAATGGGTATAGAGTTTTAGTTTTGCAAGATAAAAAGTTCTGGAAATGGGCTGCATATTACTTAGCATTACCAAACTGTACATTTTAAAATTGTTTAAATGGTCATTTTATGTTGTGTTTTTTACCACAATTTTTTTTTTAAAGTGTAGGGTCCAGAATCAGATAAATTAGATTAAAATCCTGGCTCAACTCTGTATACAGAACAAATAACTAAAACTTCTATACTTCATTTCCTTGTCTATAACATGGATGCAATATCAGTACCTAACTCTTGGGGTTATAACGAGGACTAAATGAGATAACACATGCTAAAGCACTTAGTAAGCCCCCTTTCATGGTTACATTACTATAAAAGCCCATTTTAACACTGTTAGTATTAATTCCATAAATTATTGCTCTGACTTTATTTTCGTCCTGCTATTCTAATTTTCTGCAGATTTTTTGTCCATACCCATATAACTTGCTTTGAATAGGGGCATACAGTCCTCTATTCATTCTTTTATGATTTTTATATAAAATAAATCATGTTTTACTGATTCAGCTTTCTATAAATGGCATAAAAGCCCGTACTTCTAAATAATTCAGAAATTGAAAATTCACTCATTTGTTTAATCAAAAGGCATCCTGAATGCTTTCTCTGATTATGTTTAATCATGACGTGCCTTGGGAGAGGGTGCGCTCAGTGGTAGAGTGCCTTCTTAGCATGTGTGAGGTCCTGGGTTCAGTACCTCCATCAAAAAAGAAAGAACGAAGGAAATCTAATTACCCCTAAAAAAAAGAATTAAAAAAAAAAGATGTGTTTTGAATGCTAGTCCTGAAAATGAAAATATTATTTTTGAATTTTGTTTTCCTCTTTTTGATGGTCATTTACATGTTATCACTATAAGATATATTGAGATAAGAACACACAGATCCACTTGTGCCACTTGGGAGGTGAGAATGAGGGTAGGGGGAGCCTGGAAAGAACGAAGGAACAAATTCTGCATGGAGGAAAGTGGAAATATAACCCAAATAGGGCCTATGAAGATTAAGAGCCCAGAATCACAAGAAGTGTTAAAAATAATCAGCCCAACACAGCCCAGGAGAGGTGGACTTCAACTACTTCATGAACTCGCCTCTGGAATCAGTGCTCTTTACAGAATTCTCAGACCCCCAAATTTGCAATATTACATTTATTCATAATACCCATTTGAAACCCATCATAAGTGAGGCATGTACTTTCTCAAATGCAGTTCCTCGGTTTCTAAAGATTGGTTAGTCTCCTCAGTGAGGTTTCATAGCTCCAGTGTCTCTGTCTGAATAGGTTAAGTGGCCACAGAAAAGTAGAGAAAGCAGATCAAAGCGAAGGGTGCCTGCCTCCTTTCATGCTCTTCAGAAATGAAAATACCAGCTCAAGGCGCCTCTGCCCTGTAAAGGTCTGCAGTGCAGATAACAGAATTAGGGACCCTTCTCCCTCACTTTTTTGTGTGCAGCAAAAGATGTCTGGGCACTAATGAAGGCAGGGCAGTAAACCAATGTAGTTTGATGAGAACGCTGATTTCCTTTGATACAGAATCTGTAAGATAATTTATTTTTCTAATTCATCAGGTCCAGCACCAGGACGACAATACCTGCTATGGCTACCTGTGGCTATCAAAGGAACATGAAGAAGCTTATCACACTGCTTATCTCGTATTCTCCCAAAGCAAGAGCTTTGTCTACCTTGAGCCCTTGCCTCGTGAACTGCCCTGCGGCCAAGCTCAGACAGTCCAAGTGCATTACGTTCTGAATGGACAGGTCCTGCAGGAGCTGAAGGAGCTTGAGTTCTATTACCTGGTGAGAAGGCAGGCCACTGCCTTGACTCATCTGTAGATAAAAGCGCCCTTGGGCAGGGGTTTATAAAGCTCTTTAGATATCATTATTCTGATGTCTTGTCCATGTTCCTTTTGAAAGTCTGACTTCTCTCCAGTTTAAGTTTTAGCAGCAGGGGCTCAACAAAACAAGTGTATCACCTGGAGGGCAAGACCTGGGGGAAGATCTCTGCCAGGCAAATTAAATTCTTCTTCGTTTCCTTTTTTGCAGATAATGGCAAAGGGAGGCATCGTCCGAACAGGGACTCACGTATTGCCCTTGGAGCAGGGAGACAGTGGGTATTTCCATAATTGCCACCCTTCTGCCCTGTTCCGCGCGCCACATGCAGCCTTATGCTGCAGAAATGCCAGGAACGGTTTCAAATGAAGAGAGACCATTTTCATCTGATGCCAATAAAGAAGTTGAGAGGGGAAAGCGATCACTTTTCTTTTTTTTAACCCTGTATCAAATATTTATTTTCTTTTCCTTTTCCAGGTTAATCTGTTTAGACTATTTAAAATGTTGAGTTGTTTCATAATCTATGCTTATTCCAAATTTTCAAACCACAAATATTCATGGACCTTCTTCTCCAAATGACATTTCAAAATTGTTTTAGACAATGGAGAGAAGGTCAAATTTTGGGTGTGTCTTCTGTAGAGTAGGTCCTGTGCTGAGTCATGTATATCTTTATATCATATTTCCCTTTTGAAAATAGTTATGATTTATGAAGAGTCAAATTGGGTATTTCCACCATTGAATTGGACTCCCCCTAGGAACAAATGTGAAACAATTTTTTAAAAAAAGAAAAATGCTGAAGGTTTCTCCTATTATAAATGAGTCTGGAAGATCACTTACTAGAAAACTATCGGTGTACCACTCTTTTATTGTTTCTTCATAGCAACACAGAAGATTTAGAGACATTTCATGCAACCTCTAAAGAACCTACATAGGCATCAAAAAATAACTTTCAAAGGAGCACAGCTCACCTCTTAAGAAGAAAGGATAGGTTATTTGGTTCATAGAAAGTTTAAGAGGATAGAAGGATTAAATACAATGCGTTAAACTCTTACATCTTACAACTTCAGGTCCTAGTTCCCTTCTCTGGTGGAAAGTCTAGATCAGATGGTAGCCAAGTGGATGTCTCCACATCCTTAGATGGCATCAGAACGTTACATAGATGAACTCAAGCTTCAAACTGGAGGATAAATCACTATGTGATTTATAAAGAAGAGAGCGCTTTGATAAGGTTTTTTTTTAAGCCAGAGTTCTAAGAGATATTCAGCTGTTTATTATATCTGCTATTTATTATATCTCATATCTATTACACTTACTAATAGAAGCAGTCATTAGCCAGACCAGGCTCCTAAAATGACTTTGTACAACAGAAAAATGTCATTTCAGCCCTGATATGTCTAATCCATGACCACTTCCTCTTCTCTCTGTGCTCCAGTGAAAGGCCATTTTTCCATGTCATTCCCTGTGGAGTCAGACATTGCTCCCATCGCTAGACTGCTGATCTATGCCATTTTACCTGATGGGGAAGTGATTGGAGATTCTGCAAAATACGAGGTTGAAAACTGCCTGGTCAACAGGGTGGGTGTTTTATACCCTAAAATGTTCAATATTTAAAACTGGAAATTACTACTGCTATCAAGTATTTTCTACGTGCGAGCATTGGAGCCAGAAGAGTCGAATGAACTCCGCACAGGTTTTCAGCAGGGTGATGGCAGAGTCACACTAAGAAGCCATGTTGCTTGACTCCTAGTGCAGAATTCTCATGTGCTGTTCAAAGTACCTTGTTCCCTTCTTCTATGATGAAATGTTGGGAAATATGTAACCAAGTTTTTAAAACTACAAAAGAACCAAAAGAAAACTACAAGAGCATCTAGAGCTATGTGCATTCTTCCCACCGTTAATAAACACCCCACTGTGTGTTGAAGGTAAAAAATGGCATCTCAAATTTAATAACTTATAAAAACAGACATCATTATAATGATTCAACTGATTCTTGAGAATCAGAGTGGCATAGAAGGAGGGGACACACAGCCTCAGGACTCACATGGTGTCCACCACCACGAAGTCAAAGTGATCACGCATCAAATGTGAGGAACACTCAGGAAACACTGGTGGATGCACGGTTAAACCAGGCCATTTGTTTTTCTGACTTTGTCCCCAATTCCACAGGTGAATTTGAGCTTCAGCTCAGCACGAAGTCTCCCGGCCTCCCGAGCCCACCTGCGAGTCACCGCATCCCCTCAGTCCCTCTGCGCCCTCCGCGCCGTGGACCAGAGTGTGCTGCTCATGAGTCCTGAGGCCGAGCTCTCCCCCGCCTCGGTGAGTCCCATCAGCCTCAGGGTCAGGAAGGACCACATGAGGGGCTCAGAGCAAGGAGAAATCCGCTCTGAGTGGGATAGGAGCTACTAAAATTACAGTTATCCAGGAGTTAATAGTTTTGAGCTCTTTCATGGGCATTTCTGGGGGAAGAAGATATTACATATGAATATGAATGCATGGAATATGGAAGATATTACATATTAATATATATGTAGACATATGTAATAAAAATCACGTGCCATCCAAAATCCTTGAAATCCTACAGCTCTATGAAACCAATAATAGGAATTTTAAAACTAGTTTTAATGTTTCAAAAAGTCTAACAAAAGTGGTACATATACCTACACTAAGACTGCATGGACTAAATCAAATATCAAATTTTTGTTTTTATAAGAATGACATGAACTGAAACACTGCATGTCCCAAGATAAACACAGTTTCTGAAGGAAGGTCTATATTGTCTCTGATGAATACAAATTAGGGAAAATTAATTCCTATATGATAAATGACACTGATAAATGAAACTTTTAAAATCTTAAGTTAATAGAAAAAATAACAAAAGGGTATGCTTAACGGAACAACAAGGAACTTAGTGTGTATTAATAGTCTGTCTCTTCACATTTTCAATGAGGCCAACTGGAATAACCTCTTACTGTAGTTCTTTTAGTTTTTTTTACTATAAAAATTCTATAAAAGGAAAGTTGTATTTTTACTTCCCTAAAAGAGAAACTTACAAGAAAAGATTTCTTACTTCTTGGTGCTCCCAATGGCATTTCATTAAAAATATTAGAATACTTGTAAAGGCAGTATTAAGTACATCTCAATAGTGGGAGCAAGGAGATATGTGGAAAAGTAACATTAATATTTTCTGTTTGTATAACATAATTTTATAACTCTCAGGGTTTGTTTTTTTTTAATTATAAGAACCTTAATGGGTAGATAAGGCAGAAAATTCTCTTAGTTTGTTCATAGTAAAGCAGAAGCTTTCAGGTATCCAGCAGTAGACTTGGGTTAGAACAAGAGTTCCTCTCAATCCCTGATAACACTTTATTAATGAAACACTGCACCTGGTAGTGTAAGTCATTCATTCAGCACATTTATTTAGTGCCTGCTATGTTCTGGGTGTGCCTACCATGTACCTAAGTCCTGGGGAATCTCCTAGTGAACTACTAGAATGACAAAAATCGATGCACTCGTGAAACTTCACATTTTCATAAATGAGACAGACAATAATTATGGGACATGCTTTGGAGGAAAATAAAGCAGAGGAGGGAGATGAAGAATGGTAAGAGGGAGCTGCCTTTGAGAAAGGGTTTAATTTCATGATGCTACTCAGTTTGCTGATCGGTTCTTGTCAAACAATTTTGAGCTCCTATAAATATAATACGGTGCCACTGGGGGGTTTTATGTTTGTCTTATTCCCTTTCAAGTGAATTTGAAAGTATCATTTTCAGTATCCCACAGTTAAAGTTTTATGTATTTTGTAAAGATATGGAGCATCTTGTTTCCATGAATAATACCTTAGAAAATACTATCCTAACTTATATAGAGGACGTGTACTTATCCACGTGCCTGCTTAGAACGTGTGTCCATTTATTTACTTTGTTATACACCGAGTCAGTTACTAACCGCAAGGCAGAGGTGAAACTATTAATTTTATTCTATCATCCCAAAGCGTGCTACAATGTCTTAAATAGAGCAGACCTCAATTTCTCTTAATAAAGTTTTATTTCATTCTAGCGTAGAGCCTAGGGTTTGCCTCTGAACTGTGTAACAAAGGATCTTTGAGTACTTAGATGAGAGTATTTGGGGTTTTTTTTTCTCCTAAAATTGTTAAACACCTTCAAAATCATCTTCTCTATAAATTATCTACTCAATGGAGCCACTCAAAGAAAGACTAGTCGTGATTGTTCTTTTCTTTACTCCTTGCACTTAAGAAAACTAAGCCATGAATAATTTTGTCCTTTTGTCCTTTGCGTTTGTACAGGTTTATAACCTGCTACCAGTAAAGGACCTCAACGGTTTGCCAGAGAGTTTAAATCAACAGGAGGAAGATGATGGAGACTGTATCAGTCACCAAAATGTCTACATCAATGGGATCCTGTATTCCCCAGTAACAAATACAAAAGAAAAAGATATGTATAGCTTCCTACAGGTAAATCCCTCATATTGTTGATGGTCAGTTCTTAAGGTTAACAAAATATTATATATGAGAAAAACTTATTTTAATGCTGTCACATCATAGTTGATGGTAATGGGACATTAGAGAGGTCAAGTGACTTCTCCAAGGTCACTAATAGCAACAGAGGCAGGACTGAAACTTTTTGGACCATTAGGTTAAGTTTTTTTTTTTAATTTTTACTGAAATTCATTGCCTTGTGATGTTTATAAATATCACATATATAAAATAATTACTGTCGAAAGAGTTACAAAAATAGAATGAAATTACCTCTGTAAGTACATCAACTTCCTTTCTACTAATATGAACATTAAAAGTTTAATAATAAACTAACTGGATCGTTAGTTAAATTCAATGAAAAGAAGTATGTGCCTATATATATATATTTTACAATATTTACATACTGATTAGATGATAATTTCCTTTACAGGACATGGGCTTAAAGGTATTTACCAACTCAAAGATTCATAAACCCAAATTATGTCCACAACCTCAACAATATGAAGTACATTCAGCTCAAAGACTATTATTATCTTCTCCAGGTAAAAAATTTAATAAAAATTAATTGCTTAATATATTGAACCAAATACAATAATTCTTTTAAAAAAAGATTAAATGTGATAAAAAAAATTAACCAAAAAAGTATTTGTGACTCAGATATATTAAGGTTCTTGCTCAAGGTCACATAACAGTCAAACCAAAAAATTCTGATTATGTCAAACCCCCATATACACAAAGCTAGAAAGACTATAAGACAGTACTTGTAAAAAGTGTTATCAGACAGGTACAGATGTACAGAATAAAAGAAAAGATTGATTCCGATTGAGGAATCAAGAAAGTCATTCACAAAGAATCTGCTTCTACTAAAGGGAGATGTGTGGAGTTCAAAAGGGAAGAGAAGGTTTCCAGGTGTAGGATCAGTGTAAACAGAACCAGAAATGCTCACAAATTGGGGCCACATTCTCACCAGTCAAGTAAAGAAGCTCTTGAACATCCCTAAAACATCAGCCAATATCCATGTTGAAATCACACTCATTTCTCAATGATATGGGCTACTTCTCTGCTGAATCGCATAGTAATCAAGCATTTATTTATTCACAGTCTGATATTATCAAGTCATAGTTCAATATAGGTTGAGTACAAATAAAAGAATTTGTCAAAAATCAAGGAAAATATCCAGTGGGAATCAATTTGACTATATGGAACTTAAATAAAGTTTATTGTATATTTGTATCATTATTTATAAATTATATTACTTAATCCTTTATCAGTAAGATTTGTAGTAGATTCATCTGTGTGTAAGTGTATAGGTGCCCCAGATTTTTCCCAGCAAGCTGGTTGTTAAATATTTAGCAGTACACCATTAACAGAAGGTAAATATGGTGAGAGATCCGGAATCTGATCTTCTGACATGTACGGAAATAAAGAGGTTTTTTTATTCTTGATCCTTTCACTCCTATAAACTGTTTCTCAAAGTCACCGACATGTTTGGGCACGACTCTTCTTTGCTCCCACAGAGAAGGAGATGAAATTCCAACCCCATGTCCCAGTGCTCCCCATGGGGGACAATGTGCAGTAGCCCCGGGGCCTCCTTCCCGCTCCTCGGACAACCCAAGACGCTTTCTGCCTCTAGGTCTCTGTGCTCTCTGCTTGTGAGAACACTCCTAGCTTACCCTAATACTGCAGAATTCACCTGAAGTATCACCTCCTCAAAGCAGCTTTCCCTTAACACCCAAGGGTCCACTCATGGTTCCTATTTCATTACCCTGTTTCTGTTGTAGCACTTATCACAGTCTCTCATAAGCTTTATCTTCATATTTGTTTCTGTCTCCTCCACAGCCTTAGTGGAAATGGGACGAAGACATGAGATTAGGAATATGATACACATTTCAGAGCCTCCCACAGAGACACTGCGAACGTACTTCCCTGAGACGTGGATCTGGGACTTGGTGGTGGTAAAGTAAGCGACTTCTTTTATATGTAAGAAGCAGCAATGTAGATCCCTCACAGTTTTCAATTCTTAGCTAATTTTTCAATATCCAAGTATATCTTTTAGACACATTGCTGTTTTCAGGAGAGGTTTAATGTAACACTTCTGTTGTGAAGTCTCACTAATCTAACTGTATCATTTTGCACAAATTTAATTCTAAGATTTCCAGAAAATGGGCATAAGGACTAAATATAACCAAGCACTGCACAGATTAACACCTATAAGAGATCTTTCACTGGTCAGCAATCTTGAGTTAAGTACAGAATCAGTCAGGCCAACTATATACACAGTAGTAGTAGAATTAAAAATGATAAACCTGTCCTCAGTGGAACAATATGTTAAAGAGAAAAATTTAAGAACAATCTAAAATTACATATTTAGTTTATAATTATATTGCCTATAATAGAATATACTACAACTCTATGTCTATAGGGGATTCTCATATTAACTAGAATTAAAAACACGGTTGAAGAAAAAGGACTTATACATTCCCATTTCAAGCCTTGATTATACTCTCCATTATTGGTATTTCTACTGAGTGCATTCAAGTCGTGACAATAGAATTATTCACAGGGGTTGTCTTCCTAGAAAGGATTTACAAACATACCTCAAAGATATTGTGCATCTGGTTCTAGACCACTTCAATAAAGCAAATATCACAATAAAGTGAGTCACCTGAATTTTTTGATTCCTCAGTGCATATGAAGGTTACGTTTATACTACACTGTAGTCTGTTAAGTGTGCAACAGCATTATGTCTTTGACAACTACATACCTTAATCAAAAAAAATATTTATTGTTCTAAAATGCTAACTGTCATCTGAGCCTTCAGTGAGCCATAATCTCTTTGCTGGTGGAGTCTTGCCTCCATGCTGGTGGCTGCTGACTGATCAGAGTGGTGGTTGCTGAAGGCCAGCATGGTTGTGCTAACTTCTTAAAACAAGACAGCAATGAAGTTTGCTGCATCAATGGACTCTTCCTTCCACAAACAATTCTCTGTAGCATGCAGTGGCGTTTGAGAGCATTTTACCCACAGTAGAATGTCTTTCAAAGTTTCAGTCCTCTCAGACTTGCCGCTGCTTTGTCAACTAAGTGTATGTAATAGTCTAAATCCTGTATTGTCATTTCAACAATCTTCACAGCGTCTTCACCAGGAATAGACTCTACCTCAGGAAACCACTTTCTTTCTTCATCCACAAGAAGCAACTCTCCATACATTAAAGTTTCATCATGAAATTGCAGCAATTCGGTTAAATTTTCAGGCTCCACTTCTAATTCCGGTTTTCTTGCTATTTCTTCCACATCCATAGTTACTTCCTCTACTGAAGTCTTGGACCCTTCAAAGTCATCCATGAGGGTTGGGATCAACTTCTTCCAAACTGCTTTTAATATTGATATTTTGACCTCTTCCCATGAAGCATGAAGGTTCTTAATGACATCTGGAATGGTGATTCCTTTCCAGAAGGCTTACCCAGCTCCATCAGAGGAACTGCTGTCTATGGCAGCTATAACCTTACAAAATGTATTTCTTAAATAATAAGACTTGAGAGTCGAAATCACTCCTTGTTCTACGGGCTGCAGAATGGCTGTTGTGTTAGAGGCATGAAAATGACACTGATCTCATCCATCTCCATCAGAGCTCTTGGGTGACCAGATGCATTGTCAATGAGCAGCAATGTTTTGAAAGGAATCATTTTTCTCAAGAGTGGGTTCAAAATATTTAGGCAACTATGTCGTAAACAGATGTACTTTCATCTAGGCTTTGTCATTCCATTTATAGAGCCCAGCAGAGTAGATGCAGCATAACTCTGAAGAGCCCTAGGATTTTGAGGATTATTGCATTGGTTTCACCCTCAAGTCACCAGCTGCATTAGCCCCTAACCAGAGAGTCAGCCTGTAATTAAAGCTTTGAGGCCAGGCTTTGACTTCTCCTCTCCAGCTATGAAAGTCCCAGATGCATCCTCTTCCAATATAGGGCTGCTTCACCTACGCTGAAAATCTAATTGTTGGTGTAGTCACCTTCACTAATTATCTCAGCTAGCTCTTCTGGATAACTTGCTACAACTCCCATATCAGCACCTGCTGCTTCACCTTGCACTTTTATGTTATAGAGGCAGCTTCTTTCTTTAATCCTCATGAACCACCTCTGCTACCTTCACACTTGTCTTCTGTAGCTTCCTTACCTTGCTCCGCCTTCACAGAATTGAAGAGAGGGAACGGTCTGGATTAGGTTTTGGCTTAAGGGAATGTTGCGGCCCATTTCATCTTCTATCTAGACCACTAAAACTTTCCCCGTATCAGCAATAAGGCTGTTTTCCTTTCTTATCCCTCGTGGGCTTACTCAGGTTGCATTTTAAATTTCCTTCAAGAACTTTTCTTGTATATTCATCACTTGGCTAACTGTTTGATGCAAGAGGCTTAGTTTTTGGCCAATCTTGCTTTCAACATGCCTTCCTCACTAAGCTTAATCATCTCCAGCTTTTGATTTAAAGTGAGAGACTTACGACTCTTTCCTTTGTTTGAACACTTAGAGGCCACTGTAGGGTTATTAATTGGCCTAATTTCAATATTGTTTTGACTCAGAGAATAGGGAGGCCCAAGGCAAGGGAGAGAGACAGGGGAACAGCTGGCCAATGGAGCAATCAGAACACACACAACATTTATCTATTAAGTTTGTCATCTTCTATGGGTGCAATTCATGGCACTCCCAAACAATTACAGTAGCAACATCAAAAATTACTGATCACAGATCACCATAACAAATATAATAATAATTTAAAAGCTTGAAATATTGAGAGAATTACCAAAATGTGACACAGAGACATGAAGTGAGCAAATGCTGTTAGAAAAATGGCACCAATAGACTTGTCTAACGCACAGCAGCCACAAACCTTCCATTTGTAAAAGGGACCGTATCTGTAAAGCGCAAGGAAGCAAAGTGCAATAAAACGAGATAAGTCTGTATTTAACTGCTTCCTTTTTGTTCTTCCCATCACCACCCTCCCCAGACCGTCAGGTGTGGCTGAACTAGAAGTGACAGTCCCCGATACCATCACTGAGTGGAAGGCAGGGGCCCTCTGCCTGTCCAGCGACACTGGGCTTGGTCTCTCTCCAACTGCCTCTCTCCAAGTTTTTCAGCCCTTCTTCGTCGAGGTCACAATACCCTACTCTGTGATCCGCGGAGAAGCCTTCACACTCAAGGCCACTGTGTTAAACTACCTTCCCAAATGCATCCCGGTAAGGAGCTCTTTCTTAAATTGAACACAAGGTAACAGTCAGATAAATTAAAAACTGCATTCCTGGGGACACTGACAAACTCCTGGGTCTAAGAAGGGCTCACCAGGGGAAGAACACGCCCACAGACAGCCGAACGTTGTATGGCCATGGTTGCTGAGATCTCCAAATACCAAGTAACAACTTAAAAGAAGGTTCTGACCCTTATCCTAACCCTTTAAAGTTAGGAAGTATGTGTAGCATGAAGATTTTTGACACGAACAACAAAAACCAGTATGCTGATTCCACGTCTTATATTCTCCAAAGTTTCAACCTCTACATTCCCGTTGAATGTGCATCTTATGTCTGCTGAAACCGTAACTGTGTATAAATCTGTACACTCTGCTGGGAGAGCTGAGGGTGTGGTCAGGATCCCAGACCAAAGGAGAAGCACTCCCACAGGCAACAGTCCATCAGGACTTGTCCTCACCTCTGCTCCTACCTAATGGAGAAGCAGATTATCCCCAAATACTAATATTTTGATATCAGATCTACCTGTCAGGTTCTTGGTCTTCATTTATATCATCTTCAGTATTAGGCAACCTGAAATCTAACCAACCACCCGACATGCTTTGTTTCAAGCCGTTCTCCCTTTGGTCTCCCCTTTCCCTCTCATCTGTTTGTCTCTTTGTCTCATGTGTGGCTCCAGGTCAGTGTGCATCTAGAAGCCTCCCCGGAATTCCTAGCTGTCCCAGGGGAGAAGGAACAAGAGTCTCACTGCATCTGTGGGGATGGCCGGCAAACCGTGTCCTGGGCAGTAACCCCAAAGTCATTAGGTAAGAGACAGTCTCCTAGAGACAGTTCTCCGCTCAAAGACTGTGCACATCTCTGGGATCCTTATATCCAGGCAAAGACCCCCCCCCCAGATGGTAGAATTTTTTCTTTTGTCTTTCATTCTAGAACATCTAAAAGGATATCCCCCCTTCCCTCACCTCCATCTCCACCTTGGGTTCTCAGTATCATTAACCTCTAGATTATGTTACTTCCATTCCTGCTCCTAGGGCTTTATAGAACAAAAAAAGGCCACAAAGCATTAAACATTTATAAATTTAGGGGAGGGGAGGCATAGAGGGAGAGAGATGGTGCTTCACCTCTACTGGCCCCTTTTTTTAGGAAATGTGAAATTCAGCGTGAGTGCAGAAGCACTGGATTCTCAAGAGCTGTGTGGGACTGAGGCGGCTGTGGTCCCCGAACTCGGAAGGAAAGACACAATCATCAAGCCCCTGTTAGTTGAAGTAAGTAAGCCTGCCCATTTGATGGGTCACCATGAATCGAGAAAAACAATGGCGAATCCAGTTGGGGTTCCAACTTTTAGGGAAGAAGGGCTAAAGCCTATAAGGTTATGGGATATTTCACAATATGATTGCCCCCTCTCTCTCTCTCTCTCTCAACTTTGTAAATTTCCCCTCACTCTCTGGGATCTATCAACCTGTCTCCTTAATATCACATCTAGTTAGAGAATTTGTTTATACATTTGAAAATCAGTTCCAATTCTTCTCTTCACCATCAAGAAACCTGCAGTTCCCCTGTCAACACACCTGTCCTGAAAGTCAGTCCATTCTCTCTTCTAACTTTTCTTTCTTTCCACCTAAAGCCTGAAGGATTGGAGAAGGAAGCAACATTCAGTTCCCTGCTTTGTCCACCAGGTAAGACTCATCCATCATCATTAAAAGGAAATGTCTGGAAACCTCAGAATCCCATTCATATATGTTGAAGATATTTTTTTAAAGCTGGAATATTAGAAGAAGGATAACTTTTCAGAAGTTTAGGTGCAAGGCATAGCTCTGGCTTCTGGGTCTTGAAGGTCTTCAGGGAGATATATTTTCCAACAGAAAGAATTTTCATTACAGCTGATTTGTTTCTATCTCTAGGTGACAAGGCGTCTGAACAATTATCTCTGAAGCTGCCACCAAATGTGGTAGAAGAATCTGCCCGAGCCTCTGTCTCAGTATTGGGTGAGTCTCCAGTCCTCATGGACTACTGTACTATATTGATAATGTCTACTATTGTTTTCCCATAAATACTTTCTCAAAATAACAACTATAATTTTAACTTCTTTCTTCTCTTCTTCTTTGGACTTGTTTATTGCTTCCGATCATATCTCTGTCCCTGGAAGACTCACCCTTCCTAAAAGTCCTCATTTATTTACCTCAGCTAATTATTCATTTCTTCTTAATGATTCTGACAAGTTATCATCTGTAAACTTTATGACTTGCCATCTCTCCCATTTCCTAGGAGATATTTTAGGCTCTGCCATGCGAAATACACAAAATCTCCTCCAAATGCCCTATGGCTGTGGAGAACAGAATATGGTCCTCTTTGCTCCTAACATCTATGTTCTGGATTATCTAAATGAAACACAGCAGCTGACTGAAGAAATCAAATCCAAGGCCATTCTCTACCTCAACATGGGTGAGTGACTGAATAAGTGAGTGAAAACTTCACAGTGTTCTTTTAATAATAGGTTCAATTCCATAATAGGCTTGAGTTACTTATCAAGTCTCTGTTACATCAATTTATCATACTATGATGGTTACAATAATAAGAATACCATGACAGTTCATTTCAATGGAAACTATCCAGTATCCAACCTCCGATAAAATGTTTAGGACTCAGAACCTTCTAACGTATTATAGCAAAATTAGGAAATAGGACAAGACACCAAGGCATTTTAGTAATTTCTCTGGCCACAGAATGTACGAAATGCCATGTTGCTTCCTTAACCTTCCATTCAGGTTACCAGAGGCAGTTGAACTACAAACACTCTGACGGCTCCTACAGCACCTTTGGGGAGAAGCATGGCCGCAGTAAGGGCAATACCTGGTAAGGGAGAGACAGCTTTTTTGAGTTCCTATTTCTGTGTCAAGTCCTTTACATATATTATCAAAATGATATTCCCGGTAACCCTACCAGATATGTATTACTAAACCTATAGTTGGTTATCCTAGATCAATACACCAAGACTAGCAAGGTAACAGGCAAAAAAGTGAGATTCCAATACATGTATGTTGACTTGTCCCCAAAACTCATCCTGCTAATAAGGCAGCAAGGAATTCTTTCTGAAACAGCGAATTTTTTTCTAAAATAGCTCAAATGATTGTGAGTTTTTTCATGAGATAGCTAATGAACATATCATATAACTTCTAGATAAACCATGTTAACCTCAGCTTATATTATGCTTTTTAGATCATATTCATCTTGACTGAGAATAAATTCACTAATAGGGGGAAAGGAATGAGAAGGACGCAGTGAAATGAAACACTGGTTTGAAATCCCTAAGGCAAAGCAGTATCAGGAGCTCTTGCATGTAAGAGCTGTACGCGAGAAGATTCGCTACCTATAGAAGAAAATCAGTAAAGAAAGATTTGAAGCCTCACTCAAAAAAATAGGAAAAAAATAAGTAACATTAGAAGTACAGTTGACCCTTGAAAACCACAGGGCTTAGGAGCGCCAACCTCCCCCGGTAGAAAATCCATGTGTCACTTTACAGCAGACCCTTTGTATCCCCTGTTGTGTATCCACAGATTCAACCAACTGGGGGTCACGTAATGTTGTAGTACATATTTAGTCAAAAAAAGAAAAGAAAAGAAAAAGAAAAAGAGAAGGAAAAAAAAATCCATGTGTAAGTAGACCCATGCAGTTCAGACCATGTTGTTCAACGGTCAACTGTACTAGATCTAACAGATTCG